CACTCCTGCATTTTCCTGGGAGAGGCCTGTGGCTTCCATGGGCTTTTTAGGACTAACGTCCACTACCCCATCTCTGGTCCCTTTTCTGCTCCCAGCCGGCGGAGGCAGACCCCCACTCAGACCACAAGCACAGACCCCCACCTCAGAGGAGGACTGGAGCCCTCGGGAGCCTCTGAAGGGGCTCCTGGTCGGGTTTGGAGGTGAGGAGGGCTGGCTGTGGCGAGGCTTTCTTTCTGGGGGTCATCAGCTTCCAGACTGTGGGGAGGGGAGGAGCGGGAGGGGTGGTACCGGCCCTGACTGGGAGGGGTTGTTGGGAAAGGGGAGGAGAGCAGGGCAGCAGAGCTGGGGGGCCCGGGGGTGGTGGTGGTCTGGAGGAGGCAGCCCTATGGGGGGGCTTAGGGGTCAGTCCTGCGGAGGAACAGGTGTGGGGACCATCCCCTCTGCCCGGGACCAGACCACCAGCTGGAACCAGAGCCTGTAGTCTCCTGTCAGGCCGGGGCTGGGGCACAGGGGCTGATGCACAGGGATTGGTACACAGGGGCTGGAGCACACGGACTAGTACACAGGGCCTGGGGCACAGGGGTTGGTAGATGGGCTTTGGGAGGGTCTTATCAGCCTCCTGCCATCTGCCCCTTCTGCTCACCCCATTTCCTGGATTAAGCAACCCTAGACTGGTTCGTCTGGGAAGGCCATCAGGGAGGCCAGCCTCCCAGCCAGGCGCCTGCCTACTTCCCCGCCCACCCAGCCCAGCAGCTTCCGCCACGCCCGCCCTGTGCAGTGTCTATGCTGCCGCCGGCTAGCCAGCCTGTTCCCCTGCCCCGTCTGCGTCTCTCCCACCCTCCTGCCTTGCTCTCAAGTGCAGTGTGAGCTGGACCATGAGCTTGCACCCTGGGAGAGCTTGCCCTCCATTCCCCCTGCCCCTGCCTGGTCTTGGTCAGCAGCAGGTGACAACCCCCACCCCCACCACCCCATGGCGAGTGGGTGGGCTGGCCCCAAGGCCTGCCAGTGTGAGCAGAAGGAGACTGTGTGGTGGCTTGTCAGAGAGCCAGGCCCAGCCTGGCCCACAGCTTTCTTCCCTGCACCTTGCTCTGGTGGGCGTTCCAGGGAGCCCCTCCGTGCTCATGCCCCCCCCTTCCCAAGGCCACGGCCTCTCCTCCGGCCTCAGTGCACCATGCTGTCCAGCGGGTGTCACCTGTGGCCTGTGAGGTAGAAGCAGCCACCAGGGAAGGGGCCATGGTCTCTCCTGCAAGTCTGCTGCCTCAGTTTCCCTTCTGCACAGTGAGGAGCCGGACACACCCGTCTGCGCCCCCCCACCCCAACTCAGAGACCTTTGTGCCTATTGGGCTGTCTTTTCCCTGTCACAGGATGGCTCTCAAACAGGTTCCACATGATCATTAAAGAAAGCCCCCAAAGTGGTTCTGCTCCTGGGGCCATCAGGTGTGCCTCTGCCCATCCCCAGCTGGTGTGCATGCAGGGCCTGCCGCACATGCCACCTTCTGTGCCTGGGTGCTCTGACCCCCAGGGCCACCTGTCACCTTGCAGCCAGCCTTGCCCGCTGCCCTGGACTGGCTGGGAGCAGCTTCCCTCTGCCCTGGAGGAGGTGGCCCGCCTGCTCCGGCCCAGCCTGGCCTTGGGCTGTGGATCTGGGGCCGAGTCGGGACTGGGGTTGGTGACCCGGTCTCAAGGACTAGGGTCCCAGGCAGCCAGTCCTCAGGTCTGTTCTCACCTGCCCTCTCCATCCCCCCTACCCAGGGAGGCGGCCCCAGATTTTGAGGACCAGAGGCTGGTGGGTCCGAGTAGAAGGACAGGAAGGGAGAGAGCTGTTCAGGGGTCTGTGAGCCCTCATCCTGCAGGGAGGGCCTGGCAACAGCTGCAGGAGCGGGCAGGTCCTGTCCTTGTGCCCTCACCCTGCTTGGTGCTGTGCTCATGCTGCTCACGTGGGCCCTTCCTGGCAGGCCTGCCCCCTCCCAGCCCGACAGGCTGCAGCAGCAGGCCCCTCTGGTGCTACTGTGCCACCTTGGCCAAGTTGCTCACCCTCTCTGAACCCTGTTCTTCATCGGGGGAGCTCCCAGCACCCAGGTGTGGGTGGGGATAAAGTGAGCTCAGGCGGCCAGAGTCCAGCAGCGCTCGCCGGGCTGCTTCAGGGAAGAACAGCACTTCCAGGAGGTCACACCATGCCCCTTGACCCTGAGCCAGTGCTCCTGCTCCAGAGGGTGCCTTGCCGGGCTCACAGAGCGTAGTGGGGGAGGCTAGGGCCACAGACTGGCTGGCTATGGGGGCTGTTCCCCAGAATGGCAGTGAATGGGGTCTGTGCCTGTTTGCATTGGGGCTCTAAGGAGCCCCAGCTTGCTCTCAGCCTGTGCCTGCCCACCACCACTCAGCCGCTCTGAGGGATAGTGGAGCAGGCTCTGGGGAGGCTGGGGCCCAGAGAGGGTGGTGTTCTCTGAGGGCCTTGCAGCTGTGGGAGAGGGTGGTGTCCTGGGGTCTGTCTCCCTTCTGGGGTCCGGGCGGTATCATTTAGGTCAAGGAGGTGGTGGAACCTGGCCAGGGCCCATGCGCAGTTTTAGTCTTAGGGAGTCGGGCGGACCTGACTGTGGCACTGTGTGGCACATGCTCGTGGACCATGCTCCCCTGGTGTGTGCTCTGGCTGTAAGGGTTCAGACCTGGGCCGGCTGGGGTGGTTTTCCCTCCAGAAGCTTCTGTGAGTGGCAGCTACTCCAAGGGGTGACCGTGGGAGCTGGAGGGCCAGCCTGAGGACTGGGGCGTCGCTGGCCCCGCCTCCTCCACACAGCCCCTGGGGTCCCCGGGTGCAGCTCCTCCTGCGGGTGGGCTGGGGCCCGGGGGAGCCTGGAGCGTGTAGGCCATCTGGGCCAGGGCCTGAGGGGAGGGCTGGGGAGGAGGAGATGGGGGCAGGAGTTCTGAACCTCCCAGGCCCCAGGTTAGCAGCTCTGCTTCTGGACACGTGATTCACGGTCTGAGAAAGGGGATCAGGTACCAGCACTGCCCACCTGGCTGCCGGGCAGCAGGATGGCTGCCCATGTGTAGGTGGGCACCCTGTGTGAGAGGGGTGATTAGGGCCCAAGGCCCCTGGCCTGTGAGCTTTCATGAGTACCTCGAGCCAAGGGCTCTCATTCATTCTTCATCTGGGAGGTGGGGTCTCTGCACACAGGCCTGTCCAGTACCCACAGCTAAGCTGATGTGGCACCAGGGTTTTGGGCCCAGGCAGCTGATGTCATTTAGCCACCTGAGGCTGTCCAGGTGACCCCTCTCAGGAGCCTGGCCCTCTGCAGCACCTTGGCCCACCGGCACCTCTCACCCAGAAGCACCCACGCTGAGTTGGTAGCCTCCCACCTGGGTCTTGCAGGAGCTGTTCGGAGGCAGGCGTGAGGCTTGGCTGCGACGTGCGTGTGACGGGTGTGTGTGTGTGCTGGCCAACACTCAGTTATTCTGCCCCCACCCGGGAGCACTCACCCGGACACTTGATGTCTGGGAACCCCTGGCCGGGCCTGGCAGGAAGGCTAGAGTGTTCTGGTGCCTGGCAGCACAGCCCACTCACCCCCGACGCATGCCACTCACAGCCAGACTCCAGTCTCACATGGAAACTGGAAACTGGAGCCAGGCTCCAGTCTCACGTGAAAACAGCCACGTCCCTGCACCCCGCACCAGGCACACACTCCAGCCCCAGAACTTGCCCTTCCTGCCCGCCAGGCCAGGCTCAGGCTGGGGCCCCAGGCTCACACCCCCATGTGCCTCCCTTGAGCTGGATCCCTACTGGGCAGGGGCTGGGTGGGTCTGCCCTTCTGCCCTGGCTGCGGGTCTCCGAGGCTGGGCAGGCTGTGGGCTGTGGTCAGTGCTTCCCGTGAGGTCATCAGGACTGGATGGACGGCTGTATGTATGTGTGGGTGGTGCCTGCCGGCCTGAGTCCACTCCCCATGCAGACCCGTGTTCAAGGTGGAGGGGGCTTCAGAAGGTCAGTGGGGAAGAAAGTCAAAGTCCTGTGATGTTTTCCACGGATGTTCCAAAGCCCCCTTGTGTGCGCCTGCATGATGTCCGGCCCAGGCCTGTGCGTGGGCACGTGAGGCCCCTCCAGGAGCAGCAATCTGAGAGGCCCGTGGCTGCCTCCTGTGGGGACCTCCACTGGAGGGCGGGGTAGAGGGTGGGCTGAGTGGGGGCAAAGACATAGCTAGGGCACGTGCCCGGGCACCCCTCGGGGGCAAGGGTGCAGTGAACTGCTTCCATTGCCGGCTGTGAGCGCGTTCAGTAATTTAAAACAAATTGCCACGGGCACTGTTGTCCACAGATCTGCTTTGGCGTGGGGGTGCCTGGAAATTTCAAGTGTATGTTCAGCGCGACAGTTGTGTTGTTTAGTTTTATATTCAGAGAAAGAACCATTTGAAAGGGGGGGGCGCCTCCCAGGAGGTTGCGGGGGCCTAGCTCCAAGGTGTAGAGATGGCTCGGGGAACCCCGGGTGCTGCCCTGACTGCAAGTGGCCTGTCTCCTCGTTTCCCTGTTAGAAGGAGATGCCAGGCTGATGACCAGCAGCAAGTCGGCTCTGAGCCAGGAAGCTCTGGGCCTGCGTGGCCGAGGTCCGCTGCTCTTTGCCTTCCTTCCCAGCTGCTACTGCTGTGGAGGTGCTGGGCACAGCACCTACTAGGGACCTGGAGGCAGTAGGGGCCTAGCAGTTGGGTGCTGGGAGGCCCTGGGTGATCCCGGGGAGTGACTTGGGACAGCATGTGCCGCAGACCCAGGTAGGTTTTGTAGAGGCGTGAAGGGGGGTGCCCTGCACTAGGGGAGCCTGGCGAGGGGCGGCCGTCCCAGGGCAGCTATTGCCTGCGGCCCTCACGTCCTCCATTTGTGCCAGGGAGGCCACCCGTCCAGACTTAGATCAAAGCTTAGCCTCTAACACTGGCTTCTAGGTCCAGTGCGCTTTAGCACCACGTGGGCTGGGCTGTAGGGCAGCGGAGCCCCCCGTCACCCTGCCTCACCCGTGCTCTCCGCAGGCCCCGCCATGGCGCCCTTCCTACGCATCACCTTCAACTCCTATGAGCTGGGCCCCATGCAAGAGGAAGACGAGGCCGGAGAGCCTTTCTGCGCCATCAAGATGAAGGAGGCACTAAGCACAGGTGCACCGCATGGGGGTGGCCGGGCTGCATGCTGGGGCCCAGGGGCCGGACGGGGTTTGCCTTGTTCCCTTGTTGTCCTCCTCCTCCTCCAACCAGCTGTGCACACAAAATCAGAGGCCACCGAGCCCCTCCTGGGCCCCCAAAGCCGGCTGGTTCCCTGCTATGTTTCCTGTCCATCTGTGGTGGATGTGGGACACCCCGCTATGCTCCAGGCCAGGCTTGGCTGTGCCCTCACAGGGCGCAGGCTCATAGGCAGGGTGGAGGGTGGCCCTGTCACCAGGCAGTCCCTCCTTCGGGTCTCGGCAGAGCTTCCCTCCCCACAGAGCCCCCCTGACTGCAGGCGGTGGGTCTGGGCAATGGGCCTTCCTCCTGGAACCTGACTTGACTTTGACCTGAGGGATGAGTTGGGGTGTACAGTCTGCCTGGGGGAGCTGCAGGCAGCCCAGGGGCAGGGTGCAGGCTCGCCAAGCTGGGGAGGCCAGTAGGTGGTCCTGAGGATCCGGCGGGGGTGGGGAGGACTGCAACGATGACATCAGCCCCTTCAGGAGGGAGAGCCGTTCTGATTGGGCCGGTGCTGGTGTGTCTGAGCCCTGAGGACCTGCCCACCCCCACCGACATGCCTGCCCTTTGCAGAGCGCGGGAAGACGCTGGTGCAGAAGAAGCCGACCATGTACCCCGAGTGGAAGTCGTCATTCGATGCCCACATCTACGAGGGCCGGGTCATCCAGATCGTGCTGATGCGGGCAGCCGAGGACCCGCTGTCCGAAGTCACCGTGGGCGTGTCCGTGCTGGCCGAGCGCTGCAAGAAGAACAGCGGCAGGGCCGAGTTCTGGGTGAGGAGCGCTGGGCGTGCGAGCATGCGTGTGTGTGTGTGTGTGTGTGTGTGTGTGTGTGAGTGCATGTGCGCGTATACGTGGCAGGGAGTGCTCCCTGTGCCGGCAGCGCTCCCCTTGGGCTCCGTGTGGGGCTCTGCAGCCCTGGCACCTCAATAGGAAAGAGCCCTGTAACCATCTGTGGTCTGACCAGCCTCTACCAAGAGGCGCTGCCGCAGGACTGTGCCCACCCTGACTACCTGGGCAGGGCCACCAGGGGCTTCTTGCTGGGCCTTCTGTTCACGCCCCCAGGGGAGTGTGTCAGCCACCAGGCCTGGGTCCTGGGGGTGGGGGTTGGGGGACATGAGGCTTGATCCTGCCTGCTTTCAGCCGCCCCCAGTCTGTGAGGAGGCGGAGGTGCAGGGCAGGGGTGTTAGTCGAGGAGGGCTTCACGGAAAGGGGAAGCTTTTCAAAATAAAGCCTACAGCCTGGCACGGTTGTGTGTGTGTGTGTGTGTGCACATGGGAGCAGGGTGCCGCCATTCCAAGGGCCCTGTGGAGGGGCAGCAGTCGTTGGGGTGGGGACTTTCCCTCCCCACTCTGCTCCCTAGGCCGAGGGGCCCCATGGGTGTAGGCTAGAGCCTTTCACTTCCCTAAATGTAATAATACCCCTGGCTGAGGGGTGTGGGCAGGACTCTGGGGCGGGGCCCTGTGCACACTGGGCAGCCAGGTGTCTGGCCAGGCTGCCAGGCCTGGCTTGCCCTCAGGGGACCAAGCATGGGGGTGGGTTCTAAATCTTGCCCGGCCCACCTAACCCTCCTGTCCCCTCCTCACCCCCACAGCTGGACCTTCAGCCCCAAGCCAAGGTGTTAATGTCGGTGCAGTATTTCCTGGAAGACAGCGGTAAGATACTTCCCACTTAGTCTGGGGCCTCCAGGCCCACCCTGCCTGGGTCAGAGGCCCAAACCAGGGCCTGGTGTTGGGGAAACTGCCCTCCCTCCAAGGAGCTGGGGGTCACTTTGACCCCAACTGGGTCCCCCCAGATTGCAAACAGTCTCTTCGGGGTGAGGACGAGGCGGTTCATACAATGAACCGCCGTGGGGCCATCAAGCAGGCCAAGATCCACTACATCAAGAACCATGAATTCATCGCCACCTTCTTTGGCCAGCCTACCTTCTGTTCCGTGTGCAAGGAATTCGTCTGGTGAGGCCTGGCTGCACCTGGTGGGGGGCGGGGCAGAGCCAGGGAAGGTTTTCCCGGGGCCTCCCCACTCACCTACCCTCTGGGATTTACTTTTCAGGGGTCTCAACAAGCAAGGCTACAAGTGCAGGCG